TCCTCCTTGGCTCTGTGCTGAAGCTGTGTCTTCTCGCTACCACTGCCCAGACTTTGTTTTTCAGCCTCCCCTCAGATGTTCACGGGATTTAGCACTCCACCTCTTCCCTAGCTTCAAGAACGTGGATGGGATCAGTTGTTTTAAAGGATGGGCTTTGGGAAAGATACCAGCCAAGCGAAGCAATGAAGGGTGCAGTGTCCCTGCTTTGTGCTACGTCCTCTGTCCTGCTGGGTAGACCAGCTGCCCACCGGCAGTGGATAACTACTGCTGGCGGTCTGAGGGGACGCACTCATACTGCGTCCTGCCTGGCTGTGGTAGGCCTGCTCTAGAGATCCTGCCGAGTTCGCTGTGGTCTTTGCATCCAGAAGGGTCTTAAAATGTTTTGAAGATGTCCTTCTGACAGCGCAGGGGAGCTGCTGTCGCAACAGTAAATCACTTTGGTGACCTCCTCTTGGCGTGAAAGGGAGAGGTGAGATAAAATATGAGGGACAAGGTGAAGACAGGTGGGGGGCTGTGGGTGGGCCGGGCCGGGCCAGGCCAGGGCCGCTGAGGGGAGATACAGCAGAAAAAGGCAAGAAACAGCGCTGATGACCACAGTCTCCTAATTTGCTGAAGCTTCTCATTTCCTGACAGCTCCCCGACAGTGAGGCCTGTAGCTCCCTGACACCTTCCTCCCTTGGAAGGTTTTGTCAGCCCCAGGTGCCAGGCTGTGCTCAGCGGGCGGCGTGGGGATGGTGCCAACCGGCGGAAAGGATGAAATGAGGACACGCATGGCTCTGGGCTTAATTGGGATGCCTTGAACATTGCTGGTATTTGGTCTTAAATTTTGAAAAATAGGCTTGATACAAAATTTCAGAATTGCAGGTAAGAAATGTACTAATTACGGCAGGTACAGTTTTAGCATAATGGGATTATTTCACACTGTACTTACAGAAACAATTGCCTAGCTCCACCTCTCCTAATTTGCTTAAAATTCCCCCATTGAGAGGTTTTAGTTTCTCCCTCTGAAGATTTTTTTACCCAAAGATGAAATTTTTCAGTCAGGTGTTTCTGAGGCACGTTAACTTCTTGTGGCCTTGAGGTGAGCCGAGGTTGTTAAACCCACAGTTACACACAGCATTCAGGAAATGCTCCTCTGAGGATTTTGTTTCATTATTATTATTATTTATGTTCTGTTGTTTCTAAAAAAAAATGTGTGGTAAAAACTAACTGAAGGGATTAATCATGAATTACTAAGCAGCAAATAATGGTGCCTTTCACAGTTACAGGCTATCACAGCTCAATGCCACGGATACCGTATGTGTAGAAAAAGATTGACAAAAGCAGGTAGAAAGCCTATGATTTTCAATGTGGAATAGAAGTTGTAAGCTTTGATCTTTCGTCTTTGTGGAGATTTTTTAAAATTGTTGCTGTCTATTTTAAGCCATGAGTTATTGAACTGTATTAATGTAAGCATTAATGTTTGGGAATAAAGAGGGAAATGACTGTTTCCAATGGGGCTAAGCAGTGGAAACAACTGAGTGGAATAAAGTAGCTCCTGTAAACAGACAAAATCCAAATAGCGTAGGCCGCATTTTGTTGTTTTTATCGTATTCCCTATAAATGGCTTCAGCTAAACGTAATTATTCCCCCCAGAGGAATAGGTGGGGAGCTGCCGACCGATGGTGAGCCTTGTTTTTATGGATTCTGTAGATATTCACATTCCTGGAACGCTCCTGTCAGCCGTGGCTGGCATGGGAGTGATGTGGAGCAGCACCAAAACTTTAGTCACCAAGGGCGTTAACTGCAGATCCATTGGCTATTAAACTCTTTTAAGTTTCCTTGCTCTTTGTCTGCCCAGATGCACAGGCTCACAGCTCCTTTTCAGAAGAGGAGAAAAAAAAAATTGTGGATGATACAACAGAGTGTGTGGAGGGGAAAGACAGACAGAAGCACAAAGATACCTTATTTAGTAGCTACTGCATCAGATAATGTAAGCTGTTACCCAGTTTTCTTTCTAATGGAGGGCTGTGTTGAAACTCTTATAAATTCACAATTCAGATACTAGCTGCTTAATAGTCTCATTTTGACTGCACCAAACTCTGGAAATAAAAATTGGAAACATTTATTTTCTGTTTGACTTCTGAAGATACAGTAGTAGTGCTACCATTAAAAGCTCTCTCAAAACCTCATGCAGAGATGCTAAAAGATTCATTAGTACAAGATTCTCATTCAAGCCAAGTGCTGAAGCTAAGTAGTTTCTGATGCTGCTTGTGATATGATATGATATATAAATTAGTTTGAGTAAATTTGCTCTTCATATTGTTTTTTGCATGGCACTCTTTATGAGACAACTTCCCTTTCAAACTCCTTTCATGCATCTTTTAAAGCCAGGGACAGTGCTTTTGTTTGTTTGTCTGCCGAAGTCACTGAGTAAAAATATGGCTATTTTTTTCAGCATAAATTGGAGAAAATTTTTCTGAGAAGACACTTTGCCTATTGCCTCACTGGAACTCCCCTTGATTGTTCAAAGAAAAATAAGTTTACAGCTCAGTCATGGGAGAAAGAGGACAGCTTTTTTAAAAGTGTGATTCAGAGCACGTAAGCTAGACTCCTGCTCTGAATAATGCTCTGTGTCAGTCTTCATTGAGCACATCTGTCTTCATCTGGTATAGACTCAAAGCCTGGCCCTCCCAGTTGAGGCAGCTCTGTTAGAGGCATGAGGTTAATCAATGGGAATACCCCATTTACAGGCCTGTTTTCTGAATAAAACATCTCTTTCTCAAAGAAGAATCACAAGAAGTTCTGCAGCCTGGAATGGTTTTCCATACAGCTGATTTGGTAAGCTTTTACTTCACCTAGTGAAGTAAAGACAGAAGTGCCAGTTCAACTCAAGCCCATTCTGCCTTCCTCAGATTCTGCAGC